CAGACATTTTCTGTAAAAGGCAGAGAAGATATGCTTCGACTCTGGGGTCATGCAGGCTCTGTCACAGCTGCGCAGCTTGGGCAAATGGCTGGGAAACCGTGTTGCAGGTTTAAGGCTGGATTCTGCTCAGCCCCAAAGGTAGGGTACGAGCGCGGTCACTCAGGCCGTAGGGCTGGCTGGCAGCCCACACCCCGAACCTGACCTGCGGGGTGCGGGATGCAAGGAGCCACCTCCATCAGGGGTGGTTCTTCATTGTTTCCATAATAGGAATTCTTTCTAAAAAATACTGTTGGTTTTTCTAATTAAACGAGTAAAGTCACTGTACGGTATGAAATGTGTGACTAATGTGTAAAGAATATTTCGAAAACCAAATTGAACATTTCAGTTTGATAAGAAAACACACACACTGGAAAGCTGTTTTTCACGTGTATGTTTTTTAAAAAAGTTTTCATTTTTTTGGTTCTCTAAAACAAAAGACATAGACTTGAGGTGAAAACCTGCAGCTGTTTCTTAGCAGCATAAAAGAACATGGGACCTTGCCAAGGCTGGCGTGTGAGCTGGGGCGGGTGCCAGGCATTCACACTGTGGGAGCCCAGTGGAGACAGGCACATTTCTCAGAGCGGGGGTCCATGTGCAGCTGTCACTGCCTGGGGAAGTGTCCATGTCAAAACTCCCCCTCATTATTTGTTATCTCGTTTTAATGGGAAAGTACATTTCAGCTGGGCTAAATGACAAACTATGTGAACCTTAAAACAGTATTTTCTTTTCCTGCTGTAATGATATCCTTGAGGAGAACTAAAAGATGAGGAAATGCCTGGCTTCTTTTTCCTTTTCTCCTCTTTTGGTTGTACCTTTCCGGGAAGCGAGGGGATGCGCTCAGCCTAGTTAATTTCTCATCTATTGAATATGAATGAAAAACTGGTGATGGGAGCTCACATTTCCTTTTGACTTTCACAATTTAACAACATCAATTTTCTATATCTAAGTTTTATAGAAAGAAATGTGGCTAAAATAAATAGATAAACAGATGATAGGAAGTGTTCAGGAAGCGGCTACTTTTCTAAGAATGACGTTCCCAGTCAGAATGGTTGCTGGTGGCGCAGGACAAGCAAGCTTCTTTGTGTTCCCTGGGCTCAGCAGTGTCCTGGACTGGCGTGCTGCACTTCATCCCTTTGCTTGGTGGGCCCCAGATGCATTGTTTTCTGGTGGAGAAATCAAAGGGCACACTGATCTAAATAGGCAAAGCGTGACAGCTTAGCGCTGCCAACAGGATGTGGCCAACCTAAGGAAACAGACATTGCTTGTCTTTATACTGTATTTTAAATCTGATTCCTTCCAGGGGTTGTGAAGAAGTGTGTGAGCCCCACCCATGCACTAGTGGGCTTCAGGTATGGAGACACCAAGGTCGTGCCCATCTCCTTCATCACGCCTGTGGGGGGCGCCATGCCCTGTCCGCTGCTCCAGGTACCTGCTCTGCCCACCTGCCCCAGGCCCCTTTCATCATTCCCAGTGCTCTGAGAGTGGCATGGCCACTGTTGGGCCCTTCGCTGGGCATCTGGTTGTGCTCCTGCAGAGGGCTTGCATTTGGGTGAGAAGTGGCCCCCCGTCCTCTTACCCCTTGCTGGGTGTCTGCTCACACCCTGTTAAGTAGCTCACACTTCGCTTGTCACTTTACAGACAATATGGATGGTCAGGGAAGGGAATTGCTGTAGCCGCTAGTGCTCTTGAAACTTTAACCACAAAAGAGTATATTAAACTAGATTTAAAACAAGGGCCGAGGTAGCGCTTTCCTTGACACCAAGGCCAGAGAAGACAGAGGAAGCCTCCCGGGGCTCCACTGCTGTGGTTTCTTGGGTAGAGTGAGCCAGTAGGAAGAGCACTGCATGCACTCATAAGGTGTCTCCTGTTTATCCCGCCTTCCCCAGCCAGACCCAGGGCACATGTCAGTGCACTTTCCCCTGATGGTTAGTCTTTTCCATCTGATGAATGCCCAGAAGCCTCTGCATGTCCCTTCCCAAATTCCCTTCCTGCCAGACGCTGTACCTCTGTAACTTTTACCCATGGAGTCCAGCTGTGTTCTTAGAGTCATGTGAAACAGACCTGCTCTTTCCCAGTGTCAGGGTGACAGCCCTTCTGATATATGAGGACACTGTTCATAGCGACCCTTGGCTTCATGTGAAACTCTTCAAGTTCTTTCCACCAGTCTTAGGAGGACCCCCCCTCTCCATTTTGCTGGCTGTCCCCAGGACCCTAGTCAGATGAGAAAGTCACCTGCTAGAATGGGGCTGGCCCAAACCGATCACAAAATTCCAGGTGTGATTCAATGAGCACAAAGAATTTTGGAGCTACTGACTCTGAAAAAAATATGCATTTGAATTTTAACAACAATACTTCATCTTGGGGTGTTTTAAAATGAGCTTATATTAATATTGTTTATAAGATCTGGGATCTGGAAGCAAAATGTTTACTACAAAATATGTTCTCATCTACAGGTGGGAGACTATGTGTTTGCCAAAATAGTGACACCCAATGGATTTGATTTCTATGTCCCTGCCATTGTCATAGCACTTCCAAATCATGATGTGGCCGAAGATAAGTTCTACACAGTTTTGAAGTGTAACAACCGGAGAGTAAGTAGACTTTCATTCAGAAAGGAGTTTCTCGCAAGGCAGGACGTGGCTCCTTTCACGCCCGCCTTCCTTGCAGGCTGCCAAGCCCTTTCCTGGCACCGCCAGATGACCTGAAGGAATGAGTTCCCTGACTGTACCTACCTCCGCCCAAGTGCATGCGTCTGCTCTGGTTCACAGCCTGCCCACCCTGGTACACAGTCTGCCCTCATTGAGACAGCCATGGCCTCCTAACACCATTTAGTGGCCATTTTGGCTCCCAATCCTCGCTGATGGCTGGGGGCCCACTTGCTTCTTCAGTGCCCTCCCTGTCCTTCCAGTACCACTCTCTCAAGTGTCCTTGCTGCTGCTCAGACCCCTCTTGCCTTATGCTCTCCTGCCAGTCTTCCTTAGGTATTTTTCCTAAAAGTTTTAGAAAGTCTTTATCAGTTTACAAATCTGATGATGTCACCTGATATCCATTCCACCCCCCTTCACACACACATACACACACACACACACACACACACACACACACACACACACTTTTTTCATTAACTTCTAGGAAAAGCCCAGCACAGCACAGGCCTGCCCCGTGAGCATGGCTTCCAGCCCCATGGGAGCTGCTTCCTGAATGCAGTAGGCTTTTCCAAGTCCCTGGGCTTTAATTCTTCCTGGGCCACCCTCCCCATCTTCTCTCCATGAACACTTGTCACCCAAAAGACACTGCCCAATTGTGACTTCCCACTGAGGCCCTCATGGTCCCCTACACACTGGACTGCCCACTTCCCACACTGGCTTCCTCCCCAACCTCCCAACTCCTTAACCGTGGGGATGGTGGGCCATTCATCTTTGTCCCCTCACAGCCCCTGATGAAGACAAAGTTCTCACAATTGCTTTTTAAATTACTTGAATGCATGACATTTCTAATGGAAAGGACATTGCCTTGATGGACCACTTAATATGCCTGGAAAATAGACTGGCAAGAAAAAGCGGCAAATAAAATTATATTAGCTAACTTTATTAAGCACTTACTGTGGGCCACAGGGACTGATGCTATCCGCATCACAAACAATTGAGTGCTTAGAACACTGGGGTGGGAGCTGTTATCATTCTCATTGTCAGACAAGGAGACCAAGGCAGAGAAGTTAAGTCACACAGGGTGAGCCATGGAGCAGGCCTGCGAACCCAGGTGGTCTGGCTGCATCGCCTGTACCCTGACCCCCTGTGTCGGACTGCCTCATATACCAAAGAGACATAGCCAGTCATTTCTCAACTGTAGCATGAGGTATCCATCAGGGAGGGGGTCACAGATAATGGATTTGAGGATTAAAGACAAAGACTGAAGGCCACCAGCTCCAGTGGGACCAGGAGTACTGGTTCCATTCTGAAAGAGCAAGCAGGAGAAAGGAAAAGCCCTGAGAGGAAATGGACTTTCCTGGAGCTGTTTGGGTGGCAGTAGAGATGGTCTGGAGGGGCAGCAGGAGGGGAGGCCCTGTGGTGCTGCTCTGGAGATAACTACCTGCAAGAGAGGGGAAAGCAAATCAAGAGATGATTAAAGAGACATCCCTGGGCATGTCCTCAGGGTGGGGAGAGATGAAGCAGTTGACCTAGGATCCCAGAGCAAGAGCCCAGGAAGGACCTTGGAATCCACCCACAGGACTGTGGGGCCCTGGAGACCAGAGTGGCACGGTGCAGGGGGTGGATGCTGAAGACAGTTCTGATGGAGATGCTGGGAGACTCGTAGGGCTGAAGGTGGGGCGTTCAGCAAGAGGCGGTGGTGCTAGCTTATAAGTCCAGTAAAGAGATTGCCAAGCTGAAGTAAAGACAGGAACGTGGTTATATAAAAGAATGTGCGTGCGTGTGTGTGTGTGTGTGTGTGTGTGTGTGCGCGCGTACCTGTACGCATACTCCCTGCTTCTTATGTGGATGGACTTGGCAAATGATCCAGGATGTGGAGAAGTGACAGAGAGGACTCAACAATGACTTTTATTCAACATGTAATTATCAAGCAGGCTGTACATTTAAATTGCACTCTGAAGTATCACCCTGAGTGGGATAATGCTTAGTAGCTACTATGAATGGTTGAGCTAGAATAAAATTACATCTGAATTGTGGATACATCTGATTTAAATTGAGTGAACGCTTTGGTATTATTACAGGAATTTTGCCCTCGGAGTGCACTTATTAAGATCAGCCAGAACAAGTATGCTCTCTCTTGCTCTCATATAAAGTCACCCCCAGTCCAGGAGGATCCAAAAGTGTAAGTGGCTCCCCCTTCTCATTTCCCGAATTATATTTATATTTTTGCACCTAGAATCAGTTTCTGAGTTGAGATCCATTCCTACTTAAAATGTAGTTCTGTGATTATTCTTCCTTCAGTGTCACACCTTTTACCTACCGGTTATTTGTCTATCTTAGGAGCCCCCAATCCCCAGGCCTCGGACTGGTACCAGTACGTGGCCTGTTAGGAACCAGGCCTCACAGCAGGAAGTGAGCAGTGGGGCTAACGAGTGAAGCTTCATCTGTATTTGCAACCGCTCCCAGCGCTAGCATCACTGCCTCAGCTCCACCTCAGATCCTCAGGCATTAGATTCTCATAGGAACACTAGTCCCTTATGCCCAAAAGGTTGGGGACCATTGGTATCTGGTTCTAATCTCAAATCCAGCATTAGTTTACTGACCTTTCAGAGAAGCATTCACCCCTGTCATGAATCTGAAGAAATTATTCCCTTTTTATTTGTTATGATTCAAGGTCTTCTAATGAAGTCCAACTATGAAACAGTTAGTTGCAGTTGAGAACAATCACCTGTATGCCTCTCCCCTTGGGGGTCAAGAGTGGAGCTCTGGCCCTGGCTGGCCTCTCTGCCTCACTTTTTGGGTGCTTTTAGTAAACCTGAAAAACTCTACTTCCCATTCTTCCTTCCTTGTTGCTCTTCTTTCTGAGAGGTTATAGGTTAGAAACTGGACTGCGATCAGTCCTAATACATGGGAAACAGAAAACCTTCAATGAGGAAATGCTGTGTGTCAACTTAGTCTACTCTGGATGGGGGCTATCTGAGGGGCTTGGCAGTAGCGTGGTATGTAAGACTAGGTTTCAGAGGACAGGCTTAGTGAGTACAGCTTTATAATGTGAGTTCAAGACAGGTCTCTGAGAACCTGGCCTCACAGAACTTACACATCTACACAGGCCCTGGCCTTAGATTTAAAGATAATTTTGTGGCTTCCTAGGAATCCTTTTTCCAATGATACTGCTATTGATCAGGCTATTTTTTTTTATTATGGTAAAAGATACATAACAGAAAGTTTATCGTTTTAACTGTTTTTAAGCATACAGTTCAGTACATTCATATTATTGTGCAGCCAAAATCGTTATTCATCTCTAGAACATTTTCACCATTCCGCTCTGAAATTGTCCCCACTGAACACTAACTCCCCCTCCCCCAGCCTCTGTCAACCACTAGTCTACTTTCAATCTCTATGCATTTGATGTTCTAAGTACCTCATATAAGTGGAATCACACAGTATTTGTCTTTTTGTGACTGGCTTATTTCACTCAGCATAATGTCCTCACAGTTTATCTGTGTTATAGCAAATGCCAGACTGCCTTCCTTTTTAAAAAGCTGACAATATTCCATTGTATATGTGTACCATATTTTGTTTATTCACTTACCGTCAATGAACACTTGGGCTGCTTTCATCTTTTGGCAGTTGTAAATAATGCCGCTATGAACGTGGGTCTACAGAGAACCATTTGAGTCCCTGCTTTCATTCTTGTGCGTACATCCCCACAAGTGGAATTACTGGATCATGTGGTGATTCTATTTATAATATTTTGAGGAAGTACCATACTGTTTTCCACAGCAGCTGCACCTTTTTACATTCCCATCAACAGTGCTCAAAGTTCCAATTTCTCTACATCCTTGCCAACATTTGTTATTTTTTTGTTATTTTTTTCTCCTTTTTTTTTTTTATTAGTTATATTAATGAGTGTGAAATGGTCAGGCCAATTTTTTAATCTTTCTTGGAAATTACCACCTGACTCTCTGAGCCAGTCTTTGAAAAGTATCATATGTGGTAAATCTCGATATATTAGAAATAGAATATTTCTAAATATTCTATTTAGAAATAGCTAAAAAATATTTTCCCATTCTCTTAATTTTTTCTTGACAATTTCCAAAAGATCTGAAGCAGCCATGGTCAAGTTATTCAGATTGAAGGCTGGGTGATCAAGGTGGCAGATACTGATTATGGGGACAAAATACAGTTTAACACCAGGTAGCTTGGTGTCCTTAACTTACCCTGAAAGCTCTGAAAAAGGCAAGTTCCTAGATGGTGTGCCGTGATGGCATGCTGGAATGAAGTCAAGGTGTTCCCAGGACACCTTTGGAGGACAACATTTCTGGATAAATAAATTGTCCAGTATAGTTTTGTTTTCTTTTTTTTGGGGGGATACCCTTTTACCAACATCTCTCCATTTTCCATCCCCAGCTCCCAGCCCCTGGCAACCACCATTCTCCTCTGTGTCTATGAGTTTGACTTATTTTAGGTTTCACATATGAGTGAAATCATATAGTATTTGTCTTTCTATCTGACATATTTTACTTAGCATAATACCCTCAAGGTCCATCCAGTATTATTCCAAATGGCAAGATTTCCTTATTCTTTACTGCTAAATTATATTCATCACATTTTCTTCTTCTATCCATCCATCGAAGGACACTTAGATTGTTTCCATATCTTAGCTATTGTGAATAATGCTGCAATGAACACAGGGGTGCAGATATCTCTTTAATATAGTGATTTCACTTCTTGTGGATAAATATCTAGAAGTATGGTACTTCTGTTTTAAATTTTTTGAGGACCCTCCATATTGTCTTCTATAGTGCCTGTACCAATTTACGTGCCCACCAGAAGTGCATGAGGGCTCCCCTATCACTACATCCTTGACAGTGCTTATTATCTCTTGGCTTGGATATCTCTGTAGATATAGCCACTGTCTGGCCCAGGGTGACCCTAATTTCTCCCTCTAGGGTGGACGTAGACAAGAACTCAGCTCTCCTAACATGGCCCATCAAAGGAGCTGACACTGCAGATTTACAGGAGCTGAGGCAAGAGAACCCTAGAAGGAAGAAAAAGAAATCTGCCAAGAGGCTGCCTCTGCAGGAGGTGGTGTCCTCGGACTCAGAAGATCCTTCCCATGACAACAGGTCCCAAGACTCCTACCCCAAGAGACACCCCAAGCCCAGGGTGGGAGGGGGACAATATCATTGATCTCCAGAACACCTTGAAATCTCTCTCAAGAGTAGTGTCCATGAGAGCACTCCCCAGTTTCTGGGCCACCTTAAGTCCCAATATAGCAAAAACTCTTAACACCCTTAAATAATGCTGACATCCACTTCCCCAGAGAAGGTCCCCTGCTGGAGGTCTGGGAGGCAGCTAGCCACACCACTGCTGCCACACCTCCACCTGAGCAGCCCCACCTTGCACTCATAGAGCCACCCACAGCAGCAAAGGGCTGAGGATCGTTGCCAGGAAACCTTAAAGAAGTCTAGTGGCAGCTCTGTGTAAGAGAGCCAGCGTTCCCCCAGGGCTGCCCAGACCTCAGCCCTCCGACACTGCGGACCTTGCCCCTCTGCTGAGGTAAGGCTGCCCGCCTTGTTCTGCCCCTGCCCACCCTGTCTAACAAAGGTAGACTGCCCTGCCACCCCCACCTGGATCTCCTGCCTGTTTGAGCTCTTGGTTTTGTCTTTCCCCGACCCTTCTTTATCTTGTTCTTTCCCATCCTCACAGAACTGTGCTCAATCTTCTGGTAGATTCTCCACATCCAGAAGTTCCATCTGACAGGTTACTGTCATAAGATTTTCAAATTTTTTGGAAGTCAGTTATAATCACAAGCCTGAGTCTCGTTTTAAGTCGATTATCTCATATGAATTAGGGATTTTGTCACTTAGTGTTAGGACTGAAATTGAGCCCTATGAACTTGTAGGAGAACTACAAGACTAAATATACCCTATTTTACTGTTAATCAGGAAATTTTTATTGAGCCCTTCCTAATTATTTTTGTCTGTAGTCTGTTGTAGGTACCTCTAATTGAGCACAGAGCCAGAATAAAAACTCTTACATTGGAAACATTTCAAAATTATTGGGTGGTTTGTTTCTATTTTCTTGGAACACATTTTTGCAATAGCATATAAAAGTATTCACTTCTGTTCATTAATTTCTTTAATTAGCTTTATTAATTTCAAAAATGAAATAGCTCTCCCAAATTCTCCTCTTTTAGTCAATACTAGCTTTGGAGCTAGATAATAATAGGGTACAGATTATTAATAAGAAAACTATTGGTTGCTTTTCGCAAACAGGAAAGTTAGGGCAGTGTTCCAATACTGTGAAAATTTATAACCTAATTAAAAGCGATGCTCACACTCCTGAAAGCTAGGGATAAAAGGAGGAAAGTACTTATCAAAATGTAGAAGAAGCAGGGGCATGAGTTCAGCATCAGACTGAGGCAGTCGGGTAGTGAGAACGGACCAAGGAGTGAGGAAATCACCTAGAACAAGGCGGAGGCAGTGCGGGCGGCAGGCAACCACCCAAGGCCCAGAGTTTCTCAAAGACAGGAAGGCTCGGAAGCAGCCTCCTGGGTTTGGTCTGCACAGTGGAACCCTGCAGGGGCAGGAAAGAAACCATTCATCCAGTGGGGTCATTCATTCATTCACTCATATATGCGTGTTTTCAGTTGTACGACAGGTGATTGACTGCTGACGGTGTGCCAGGCTCCAGAGAGACTGTCAGACTTTTGAAAGATAGTTACCTTTTCTCTCTATTCTACCCCTCATCATCTCCACAGGGGTGCAGGGATGAAGGACTGTAGGACAAAAGACACATAATAACAGTTTATTGATACTGTGTTACAATGCATGATATGCTTGGTGACATTGAGTGATATGTTCAGTGTATCAGTGATAATGCCCAGTTCCATGTACTGGAGAAAACTTCAATAACAACAGTGTATTTGCACTTAAAGCCAGTATGGAATAACAGAACTGTATCCCCCTCCCCCACCTGAAACAACTAAACCGCCTGACATAATATATGTAACAACGGTTTCCAAAACATTAGGCATAAGCAATGATCTCTGAGAAACAAGCAAGGTGAGATAGCTTCCACACTGCAGTACATGCATCCATGTGTATCACCTTAGGTAATTACCTTAGATAATTTGTGTGACAATTCAGTTTGTTACTTAATAAATCTGCACATTTACCATATGCCAGAAATAATAAAAGGGGTTCAATCTGTTAAAAATAACAATAACAACAATAGTAATAAACAGCTATATATCCAGATTTTATGGCCACCCTGTGTAATTGGCCTGGATCATAAGCCAGGGGGAGGGGAAGGACATCAGGATGGAGTGATTGACAGCTGCACAGAACTGTGAGGAATGGGTATGGAGATAAGCTCTTACCAGAAGAAAGGGAATGGATATTCAAGAACAGACTGAATGACCTCTTGAGTGACATAAAAAAGACCCATGCCTCAAGTGACAGAGTCACCAAAATTGCTTCTAAGTTCCTTTCAACTCTGGAGTCCAGGGATCAATGACGTAGTCCATTACCAACTCAGAGCAATTCCACATGTATGAAAAACTATCCTTATAAAAGGTGTGGCGGAGGTGGGGGGCGGGGGTGTGTAGCCAACGCAATTAGACAAGAAAAATTAATTAAGGAAATAGACTTGAAAAAGAAGTAAAATTATATTTGTGCATGGTAAAAGGGTATACCTGAAAAATCTGAGAGAATCCATCACAGCACTAATTCAACAATAAAAATAACGCGGCGAGGTGTCAGGATAGAAATATACAAAAATCAATAGCTTTCATGTACACAAATAAAGATCAATTATAAGGTATTTTGATAGAGAAAACCTTATTTACAATAGCAACAAAGAGGATAAAATATAGTCAATTCTCATTATTTGTGGCAGTCATGTTCTATAAAGTCACCTCTAACACTGAAGATAGCAAGTTCTGAATCAATGCTCCTAGGGAAATACAGAGTTAGGTTCCTGCAAGCCTCCAGTCACATTGTTTTCACCAACCAATCAATATGTAACCTCCTTTTATGTGTGTTTCTATTAAAGACACCTCATTTAATATCTATTGATGATTTGTTAACAACTCATGGCCAACAGCACTATTACTCCTCAATGACGCTTGTCTAACACGTTTTCTTTGTAAGACACATCATAGCCTCCTTGCACTTAGGAACACTGGATGGCACTTCACAACAGTTGGGTGCCATTTAAACAGTGAAATCAACATTAAGCACAAAAAATATGAAAAACGTGACACTAAATATGCCACAAAAAAGAATTTTTTTTTTACAAGAGCTGAAAGAAAAAGACAAAGGAAACAGCTGAAAGAAAAAGACAGAAAGGGGAGTCAAAGTTTCACCACTCCAAACATATCTAACTGCAAAATGCCTTGAGTATTGATTTTGGAGTTATAAATAAATTTTAGTGAGGTGAATTCACAAACATGCAATCCATGAAAAATGAGGAGCAACTCTTCCTAGAATAAACTTAATAGAAATGTGTAAAAACAATATGAGAAAAACATCAAAACATTCCTGAAAGGCACAAAAGTAGACTTAAACATTTCTTATTTTTAGATAGGATGGCTCAACATCATGGTGTTAATTCTCCCTGCGTTTATTAATGTAACACAATCCCAAAATACCAGCAAATATTTTATGAGGCTTGAGTAAAGTTCATATGAAAAAATAAACATGTGAGAGTAACTAGAAAATTCTGAAAAAGGAAAGCCATTAGGGAGGACTTATAAAGTAAGCTAACATGTAAAACACTGTAATATCTTTATACTCAAAATAATGTGGTGCCAGCGCAAGGGAAGACAAGTAGACCAATGGAATAGAATAGAGTCCAGAAACAGACTCAAATATATACGGAAATTAAGTATAAAGGTGACGTAAATGGCTGATGTCCCTAAAATATAGAGAACTCTTAAAAATTCTCTATATTTCCCCTTAAAAATTCAGGGGAAAAATAACTAAAAACGTGGCAGAAAAATAGGCAAAAGACATGAGATATCCACAAAGATATAAGAACAGACTTAAAATATGAAAAGATGTTTAACTTCACTCATAATAAGATAAACAAGTTAAAAATACACTTAGAGAATTTCCAGTAATGTTGCAATGTGAATGGATAATACAAATCCTTTTACAAATAACAACCTGGGTAAAATATTTTTTAAATTAGCAAGTATTTAAAGGCATGACAAAATGTTTAAAAACATACAAAATGTGGAGAGTTTATTCTCCAAAAACTGTAACTGGAAGAAGTAAGAATTGCGAGATTGTGACACTCTGGCCTAAGGACACTTTCCAACTTTCATGGCCAAGGAAACCAAAAAATGCAGCCTGACAGGTGCCAGAGATAAGAGTTCAAGACTGGAAAAGCAATGAAATTTTAAAGAAGTCCTGGCAGCAAGAAACCACAGTAAGAACAAGTCATAAAATCTAAGTATAAACTCTGTTTTAGTTCCTGGCTGATTCTAAATTATTCATGTACAGGGGAGACCCCAAGAGAGTCTTATTTAAAAAAAAATTAGGCAGAAAACAGAGAGGAATCTCTTAGGAGAAGGAGCTGCATGGAGCTATGTCTGTGTATTTGCTGCTTGTGACCTGAAATGCATTTCCAAATCATGTACAGCTTGGGCAGCAGTAATCTAGTCCTATAGGATTACAGTGTCAGGAGGCAGGAAAAGCAGTTGAAAATTTAAGCAAGGAAATCACTGAAAGAGTGAACTCCAAAATATTCTCAAATCCTACACAAATTATGTAGGCATAATTATGTAGGGGAAATACCCAAGGTGCCAGGATAAAAAAGCAGCAGTGAGAAGCCATAAGAATGGAATAGAGATGTGAACTGCTTCATACTATAGGAGAAAAACGTTTGCAGTTTGAATACAGGAAAATTAATTTCCTACTAGAATAGAAAAAAAAATCAAGCAGCCAAAAACAAACAAGAAAACATTGAAGGACGCAATAGAATATTTCACTAGAACACATTGCCTAAAGTGTTTTGAATCAAAAAACTTAGTAGACATGCAAAGATACAGAAAAATGTGTGTTCTATTTTAATGGATAAAAGACAGTCAATAGAAACTTTGAGTCTAGACGTTGTATTCAACAGACTTCAAAACGACTATTATAAATAAATATATATATATATATACACATACATATATTTAAAAGAAAATATAGTATCAACGAAGAAATGAATAGGGAACCTCAATAGAAAAATGAAGGTGTTAAAAATGCAAAAGAAAAACTCTACAACTAAAAAGAACAACAAAACATATACTAACTGGACTGAACAGCAGGAAGAGAGAGCAGAAGAATCGCTGAACTTAAAGATAAATTAATAAAAATTACCCAATTAAAAAAACAAAAAAGGATTGAAGAAAAATAAAAAAAAACCTCAGAGACCTGTAGGATAATTTCAAGCATTTCAAAATATGTAAAATTGGAGTCCTAGAAGAGGAGACAGAGAAAGAGAAAAAAAAATCTGAGACAATGAAAACTTCCAAAATTTGGTGGAAAACAATAGATCCAAGAAGTCTAACCCTAAGCATTATAAAGACAAAGAAAACCACTCCAAAGTACATCATAGTCGAACTGCTAAAAGATGATGATGACGAGGCAGAGAAGAACAATATGTTACATTCCAGGAAACCTGACATGGTACTGATGAGTTATCAGCCAAAATATGGAGACCAGAAGACATTGAAATGGCAAAATGCAGAAAGGGAAAAATAACAAAAACCTGTAAAAAGAATTGCATATTCAGTAGAACTAGCATTCTAAAATGAAGATGAGAAGAATTCCACTTTCAGTATGTTTTAGTGTTTATACTCTTAACACAGAACCCTCTGATAGATAACTATAAACTCTGGATGAAATAGAAATAACTACCCAGAGATTTTTGAGAGTCACCAAAGGCAGGTCCTGATGTGGCAAGTTTTCTGTTATTACATATTTTAGTTTGAGGGCAGCCTGAGGCAGGACATGGTTAGTGCCACATATAGAGGTTTAATCTCTGAAAACATGCAGTCTTGCT